AACTCATAAGCATAACTCATTAGCATATGCCACACCCCCTGACATCAGGGCCCGGCGGTGGGCCTGCAAGGCCAGCAGAAGTGCGAGGAAGCCCCGCCAAGGCCCTCCCTGGCCCCAGGCAGGCAGGGGTGGGGAGAGGCGGGGAGGGAGCAACTTACCCTCCCTCTTCTCCTGCCTCCTCCTGGCTGAATGAGGGCTGGAAGCGGGGCGGCCAGAAACAGGGGGTGGGGCTTCATCGTGTGCCCCACCCCCCTGCACCTCACCCGGGGGAACTGCGTTCCCCCGCGTTCCCCCCCGAAATGACCTCTGGCCATGCAATGTAGACGGGGAATTTCTGTTCCAGTGTGGGTTTGGTGTAACAGCAGAGCAAATGCTAGATGCAGACTGGGCCTGAGGAACAGCTCCGTTTTTCAGACTCCACCTTGCAAGTGTGTCTCAGGGCCTTTGGCCAATCTGACCACCAGGCCTTGGGGCTCACCCCACCCCCACCCCCCCGACTGGGACTTCCCAATCAAGAGGTGTTAACACATCAGAAGGGCTAGCATGTTCCCCTCTCATTTGGGAAAAGATGCTCTCTATCGAGTGAAGAGCACCTTCCTACCTTCTTCCCAGCCACAGAGACAGAAGGGTCCCTTTCCATCACCATAACTGTCACAACATCTCTTGCATTCATCTGGGGGGGGGGGGGACTTCCAGATTTACATCCACTAGAAGCCTATGCAAAACATCTGCACTCACTACATACACAACCTCCCCAAAGCTGGGGGAGGGGACAAAAAAAGAGCTTGATAGATATTATAGCCACAGCGCCGCATTACTGCATGGAGTGTCCCAGTGATTCAGCTCCATAGGAACAAGAGTGGAAGGATTGGCAGGCTCAGAGTTTCTGGATTCCGTAGAGCTGCACTGGATGCAACTAAGTGGGGGCAGAGCAAGGAGAGGCCCTAAATTAAGAAAAGGGTACTGGATTCAGACAGCACTGGCTCTTCGGCTTGGAAATGGAGATGAGCACCGCCCCCTAGAGTTGGATTCGACTGGCTTTCAAGCAAGGGAATCCTGTACCTTTACCTTACTGGCATCTCTAGGTTCAGTCCAGCTCCAGGGCTTCCTGGCTTGGTCCCAGCAATGCTTCCCCTCTTGCTCCTCCAATAACATTCCTTTTGTCTTGCAGTTTGTGGCTCCAACCCATAACAAGAGGAAGGTTCTGGCCCTGTGGTCTCAACAGGGAACCAGGGTATAAAGAGTTCTTTACCCGTGTCTCAGTTTACAGAAGCAGGTCAATAGAAAAAGCCCTCGTTCCGTTGAAGATGTGGCCGCAATTAACACAACTAAACTCTAGCAGGGCAATCCTTATACTCTTCTAAGACCAGCTGGGCTTAGAAGATTATGACTCTGTTTAGAAATAAACCTCCCCAAAGCTGGGGGAGGGGACAAAAAAAGAGCTTGATAGATATTATAGCCACAGCGCCGCATTACTGCATGGAGTGTCCCAGTGATTCAGCTCCATAGGAACAAGAGTGGAAGGATTGGCAGGCTCAGAGTTTCTGGATTCCATAGAGCTGCACTGGATGCAACTAAGTGGGGGCAGAGCAAGGAGAGGCCCTAAATTAAGAAAAGGGTACTGGATTCAGACAGCACTGGCTCTTCGGCTTGGAAATGGAGATGAGCACCGCCCCCTAGAGTTGGATTCGACTGGCTTTCAAGCAAGGGAATCCTGTACCTTTACCTTACTGGCATCTCTAGGTTCAGTCCAGCTCCAGGGCTTCCTGGCTTGGTCCCAGCAATGCTTCCCCTCTTGCTCCTCCAATAACATTCCTTTTGTCTTGCAGTTTGTGGCTCCAACCCATAACAAGAGGAAGGTTCTGGCCCTGTGGTCTCAACAGGGAACCAGGGTATAAAGAGCTCTTTGCCCATGTCTCAGTTTACAGAAGCAGGTCAATAGAAAAAGCCCTCGTTCCGTTGAAAATGTGGCCGCAATTAACACAACGAAACTCTAGCAGGGCAATCCTTACACTCTTCCAAGACCAGCTGGGCTTAGAAGGTTATGACTCTGTTTAGAAATACCCTGTAGGAACTCTCCTCTCGCTCCACCCTGACACACCTTTCCAGAAGGTCAATTGAGAAACACGGGTGATTCGGCACATCCAGTAGTACATTTATTACTGTAAGCCATGAAAGTAACTCGTACAAATGATATAATGCAAATCTGCCCTATGGCTGTCTTGCACCCCCCAGTGCCAACAAAACCTATGCAAAGCCACCTCTGGCACCAACTGACTTCCCCGAACCTCGTTTTGTATTGTTGCAGACAATCCAAAGGAAAGCAGCCGCGTTCCGGTGTATATTAAAGTCCTAGATGTGAATGACAACGCCCCAGAATTTGCCATGTTCTACGAGACCTTTGTCTGTGAAAATGCAAAGGCTGAACAGGTACGTGGCCGGCCCTAAGTGAATGAATATATGTGCATCAATGCGACCCACTTCAGCATTGCACTCAGGCACTGACACATTGCAGTGCAAAGAGCAGCTGGCATTGGTAAGTCAACTGAAAGAGTGGCCACGCCATGTGGCTACAGCTGGCATTTGGTTATTAGCTGATCTGACACCACATTTGTCAGTAGTTCAGCATGGTTGCTTCTTGCACATTGGTTTCCCATTTCCTACTCCCCCTTCCTTTGTAAAAAGAATTCTGCATCTGCTCTATGTAGTCTTGATGCATCAGTTGTCGGTCTAGACATATGGCCCAGAGCAGCAAGTCACTCATTCAGATCTGCAAGATCTGGTTGCTAAATGAACCGACAGACCAGAGATTATTATTTTTTCCTTAATTCGACTGATTGTTCCTCTGAGACGTACAGTCTCCCGGTTGTTTGGGAGGGGGCAATGTAGCCCTTTGCGGATAATCTCATGAGCACCCCCAATGATCTATACCCATATGTACCTAGACATGTTTCGCCGGTCACACCACTAGCCACTTTGGTGTAGTGGTTAAGTGTGCGGACTCTAATCTGGGAGAACCGGGTTTGATTCCCCACTCCTCCACATGCAGCCACTGGTGTGACCTTGGGTCAGTCATTAGTTCTTTCAGAGCTGTTCTCTCATGGGCAGTTCTCGAGAGAGCCCCCTCAGCCCCACCCACCTCGCAGGGTGTCTGTTGTGGGGAGGAGAAGGGAAAGGAGACTGTAAATCGCCCTGAGCCTTAGGGGAGGGTGGGATAGAAATCAAATTATAAAATTAAAAAAATAAAAATAAAAACTGCTTTGAGACTCCTTCGGGTAGTGAAGGGCAGGGTATAAGTCCAATCTCTTCTTCTCTTCTTCTACGCATATATCCAAAGGGTTTACCATTTTCCATGCAGCTGATAGACTACGGGGGGGGGAGAGAACTGGGGATCCTATAGATTCTTCAGAGCAAAAGGTTTCTTTTCCCCCAGTCAACCTGTGGGTTGGGGGGAAATGCTACAAGGAAAGGGGTGGGGGCAGAACAATAGCAATCATGTCCCCCCAAAAAAATGTATCAGTCATTACGGTTTTCAAAAGTCACTTCCAGGGCTATTTTGGGGCAGGAACGCACAGGAACGGAGTTCCAGCTGGCTCCCAAGTTTGCCACGCCCAACAGGAACTCATTAGCATAATAGGCCACACCCAACAGCAGAAACTCATTAGGATTGGCTACATTAGGGGTGTGTGGCCTAACATGCAAAGGAGTTCCTGCTAAAAAAAAAACCTTGGGTTTTGACAATAAACAAAGTAACCAGAATAAGAAGCAAAAGGTGGGTGTGGCTGGATGAGCACACTTCTGGTTACATGGAGGTGTGGCCTAATATGCCAATGAGTTGTGCTGTCAGAGGTGTGGCCTAATGTGCTAATGAGTGTCTGCTGTTGGGTGTGGCCTATTATGCTAATGAGTTCCTGCTGGGCATTTTCTACAAAAAAAGCCCTGGTCACTTCTATCCTTCTCACAAAGTCTGGAGTGGCCAAGTATTAGGCAAGGGGAGGCAGCTCACCGCAGCCCACATTTTGCAGGATTGCCAGGTTCCCGCTGGCCTTCGGCAGTGGATGGGGAGGTAGGGTTCCCAGATCCAGGTTGGGAAATTCCCGGAGATTAGGGGATGGAGCCTGGGGAGGACAGGGACCTCAGTGGGGCACAGTGCCATAGCGTCCACCCTCCAAAGCATCCATTTTCTCCAGGGGAACTGATCTCCACAGTCTGGAGGTGAGCTGTAATGCCAGGGGATCCCCAGGTCCCACCTGGAGGCTGGCATCCCTGGTTGTGAGCTAATATTACAACGGCAGCAAGTTGTCCGTTATATACTGTACTTTTGTTTTTACCACCAAAGAGGTGTCGTTTGGGTTTGAGCACCAAACGGCTTGGGCCATTTCAGACCTCAGCCCAGCTTAGGTGTTGCTGTGTGAAAGGGAGACAGTCAGGGCCGGCTCGCAAACTAGGCGAACTAGGCGTTCGCCTAGAGCGCCCCGGCCCTTAGGGGCGCCAAACTGCACCGACCCCCCGCCAAAAGCGCCCCTGCTGGCTCTGACGGGGGGCGAACAGAGGGGCACGGGGGTGCCAGAAGGGATCCTCGCCTAGGGTGCAAAATATGCTGGGGCCGGCCCTGGAGACAGTCCCTTATTCAAAGGGCCCAGCCACAACTCCACAAGTCTGATGCACAAATCACACGCATATATAATTTCTTTTTTTAGTATTTAAAGTTTTTTTTATTTTTAAAACAGTAAAAAGAACAAAATAGAGTGGTACCAAATATCAACAGTAGACTCAGATAAGGTAATAATGTGTAGAAACTTTGTCCAGACATGTTTACATGCAGTGAATAACTTCATAGGATTTTTGAGGGACCTTGAACTTAGCGGAGTCAGCGTTAAATATACATTCTAGAAAAGGAAACCATTTCAAGAGAAGGTTTGATTCCCTGTTAGACATATTAGCACTAGCAACAACATCAGATATTTTATCCATCGCGTGATATTCCCATTGCTTTATATGCCAAGATGATAATAACAATTTATTTGGAGGCTTCCAACTACCAGCGATGACTACTTTTGCAGCTGTCAATAAAACCGAGATAAGTTCTTGTCTAAGTTTGAGAACATGTGCATCATTCCAATAATCTAAGAGAATAAGTTCGGGTTGCATAGGAAGCCATTTCTGTGTGGCAGTCAACGAGTGCAGTGTGTGTAACGCTGACACTGTTGCAAAGTCTGCACAAGCATGGAGCCTCATGCAACAGGGTGTACTTCCCTTTGGCCATCCTACTTTCGGGGGGGGAGGAGCTACCCTCAGCATTCTAGAGAAACATGAGTAGTTTTCACTCCCTCCTCCACACCTTCTTTCAGTCAAGGCCCAGGAGCATGGACAAGGCATATCTTCCACAAGGAGGTGTGTGGTCTGCCCTGGAATGGAACAATCCATCTCCTGTTTTGGATGAGGCTTGGGAGAACGGGAAGCCCCGGTCATTTGCTCTCTTACTTTTCCATCACTTCTGTGGAATAGACCCACTATGGAGACCACTTCTTCCAGCTCTTCGAGAAGAGCAGTCTTTGTTTTACCAGTTGCCGTTCGTTCTGCTTGCTTTGCACACTGCTATTAATTATTGCTCCGATAACATTTATTCACAATGCTCTGGTGGAAACGAGGCACTGGTGTCTGAATTCAGCAGTTGGCATAATTAACGACGGTGTTTTCAGCTTATACAGACCCTAAGTGCAATCGACAAGGATGACTCTTTCGGCGGGCACAAATTTTCGTTCTCTCTGGCTCCCGAAGTGGCCGGTAGCTCCAACTTCACCATTCAAGACAATAGAGGTAAACTTGTTTACCCACCATATTCTGATTCCTTCTTCTTTGGGTCAGGCATTCGGGGGGGGGGGGCAAACTATTCTTT